GTCCCAGAATTCCCCAGCCAGCTTTGCTAGCTGGGGAATTCTGGGACTTGAAGTCCACCCATCTTCAAGTTGCCAAGGTTGATAAACACTGTTTTAGAAAAATTCCTGCCTATTAATGTGTATTTAGAAAGCCATCCTGCAGACCAGAAGATGCCCATTCCACTACAAGTGTATGTTGGATTTCCTAACTGATCACTTTAATTAAATCTCTTTGTGACCCTTGGTACCAGCTTCTAATAACGACATAACTTTTGGAAGCAGGAACTATGTTGGATGACTTCTGGTGCTTTGCAGCTATTCAGCAGCCTGAAAGAACAAGGAATTCAAGGTAGCAAAACCAGCGGGTGCTTGTTTATTTTATTTATTTATATGATTTAAATGTCTTCCCACCTCAGACAGGTGACTCTGGGTGGCGTACGAGGATTAAAAACACGATCTCTGGATCTCCAGAGGTTGGTCTGTATAGGTTGGCAACAGGCTATGGTATAATGTTTGGTTATCATTGCTTTATTGTATTTATATTTATTTGCAAGGCTGAAGTTGTTTGACTTTAACTGCAGCTTTGCATAACACTGCAGTATGTGTCTGCTCCCAAACGTGGTAGTGCCAAAATGCCAAAACTCCCTTGCCCTCTCTCCCCCTGGTGCCCCTGAAGATGCCTGTGGCTGTATAGAATCATCTATTTCTGTAGGCACCGGATGTGCCCACAACTTCAGTGTATGTTTAGGTGTGATTTGTGCTGGAGAAACCAGGCGAAATAAACTTAGAACAGTCCCCAAGTTGCACCTATGTAGATACTGGGACTGGAAATATTTTCGACTAATGCTCCCATGATCCTTGGCAGTCAGGAAGCAAAGACCAGGAACAAAATTACGTGTTGCGGTGGAGGCTGGCTAGTAACCAGAGAGGAAGGGTGGTCTCCATGTTCCTGACTGTCCCAGATTATAGCTCCAGTCCCACCCAGCACTGTTCCTCTGACTTCCTTCCAAGGTCACGGGTGGTGAAGCCTAACAGATTTTAACATCTTGAGGCTTTCCTGGTGTTGGAATAAGAAGGTGCAGACTAGATAACATCAAAACACGTTATGAAAACAAAAGCTGGTCTCCCTCACGGGCAGGGGATGAAACATCCCAGTTCCTCTCCTTGACCCTACAGCTTGATCTTCAAGCTGTAGAGTCAAGGAGGGGAACTGGGATGCCAAGGTGAGATGGTCAAGTGCAGAGGGGCCTTTACGGGCAAATGTGATGGTAACAGCTAGCTCTTCTTTCCTTCTGCTGCTCCAGTAACCCTTGCCAGATACTTGGGAACAGAAGGAGGTCGAGTCAGCTGGAAAGGAACTAGGAACATGGCCTTGCTGATCCCACCAGTCTGATCCACAGCATAGCCTCAAGGAGCTACTTGCAATAACCACGATTCTGGCTTCTGGGTTTATGTGTAAGAAGGAAGGATTGCTGACCTACAGGCTGTTAGCTTTAACCTGCAAAGCCAGGGAACATCTGTCAATAGTGCTACGTCTGCCAGGTGAAAAGAACAGGGAAGCTGTATAAGGTGCATATTTTGCGCCCATGATCTGTTTTGAACGAGTTAGCCACATTCACATGTTATTCAGTTACACCATCCCATAAACAACAGAGAGAATAGAATTTATCCCAAATGTCTGCAATACAGCACTTGCACAGGAGCAGCCAAACGCACGTGGGTGCTTCACAAAATTGGCCTGCTCCACAAACTGCATGTCTGGGTTGTATCTCACCATCTCTGACTTTCTGAGAAAGCTACATTTCCTTATTCATCTTTTTATGCATAAAATGGAACAATGCCAGAGGAATTCAGGCAAAGTGGGGAGAGCTTGTGGCTTCGGACGGTTTTTTCCCTGCCCGGCCTAGTTCTGACGTTGATCCCTTGTCTGGGCATATGCGGTGCAACACGGGGAGATTATAGGATCTGCACAGCCCTGAAGGTGTTTGTTTAAGTAATGTCAGAGGCCATTAAGAGGTTTCCTGTTTCCCAAAAATTCAAGAACACAAGAAAGAGACCAGGAAAGGAAAGCATGCAAATGTTTTCATTCTGGGCCAAAACCCATTTGACGTGTTTTTAAAGAATCAGAACAATCCAGTGGCGGAAGAGGGAAGTGAAGATGCCAGGGTGAGACGTTAAACCAAGATTTAGGGTGCCGTTGCGGGCATGCAGAGCAGCTCTGAGTCCATTGCAGAAGTGCAGAACCTTTTCCTGGCCAAGGGTCACTCCTGAGGTTTGAAGAATCCCTTGGGAGCACCAAATCCAGGCCGGGCATGACTGCAAAATTCTCCTTTTCCAGAAACAAGTTCCATATTTAGTAACCTTTAGCTCTGCCAAGTGACAGGAGACTTCTTTTTTCACAGGCTACAGGACCTCATCCTTAGTGTGCAAGTGGTCCTGGGTTCCAAACGTTATTGTATAGGTTTGGCCAGTTTCCTACCTGATCTTCAATTCAGCTCGGATGAAGAGTGGTGTAAGAGAAAGGGAAGACCCTAAGAACATCGCTTCCCCTTCAAAAAAATTAAAAAACAACAACAGAAATTTGAATCAGCCATTAAAAAAAAAACGTTGGGAAGAGGGCAACAAGATCCATATGTCTTTATTTCCACCCTACCAGGCTGCAACTTTCTATAGGAAAGTAGCTATAGATCACAGTCATCCTTAGCTCAGGATAATTCTGCAAATAGGTACTCTTTTGTTCCTAGAAATATCCATTCTAAAGATGTGGCTGGTTTACTTTTTTCCAAATCTTTTCAAATTCCAGGAATCTGTTTTTCAGTGAATGTAGAAGGGTCTTGGGAATCCTCTGCTGAAAGTTGCTTTAAAGCAGTGTGGTCCAAACTTGGCCACTTGGAGATGTGTGG